CATTTTTTTCTCTGTCGGGAATATTTCCCGTGTTATTCAAGTGTTATTCAAGTGTTATTGTGTGTTATTCATGTGTTATTGTATCCTGAAAATAATCTTGGTGTTATAATAACACAATAACACATCAATAACACATGAATAACACGCAATAACACATGAATAACACAGGAGAGAATATTCCCCGTGTTACTGCGCCGTTTTTTTTGCTCTACCGCGCGAGATATCGTGGCGTGTTTTGATTGGCTACGCACGTTATTTTTGCGTGCGTAGTACTGATGTAATATTTCTTCATGGTTTTGGGCGAAAACAGTAGGACGGACGTCGTCTAGGGTTTCGGGCAGGCGAGGGGAAGGGGAAGATAGCTTTGTGGCTTTAATTTAGCTTAATTGTTTAATAACTATTAATTAATTAATATGTTATCAAATTAAGCTTAGTTAAAAAATTTTATATATTTATTTAATCATTATTTAATAAAAAATTACATATTAAATTAAATTATTGAAATACATTTTAATAAATAATAATTAGTTTAATACATAACTAATTGATTATTACTTAATGGATGCAAAGTTATTATTTAATATAATTAGTTCAATAAAACTGTTATTAATGAATAAATAATTCAACAAATATTTAATTATTGATTATAATTACTATAAATAAAAAAAATTAAATCTAAACTTAACTACGGCTTGGAATGACATCAACAGTAAATAAATCCAGCTTTGCAGTTAACTGGAAGCCACTCATAACTCCTTTAAAGTAAATATATCAAGCATAAGAATGAAGTAGGGAGGGCGGGGAGCATACAAATCCTGTGAGTTTCATACAAATTACTGCGGAAAAAGCACGTGCATATTATTGGCCTTGAAGAACAAGTGTTGGCCTGAAGGAGAACATGTACTCCAATGTAGCAACATGTTTCTCAGAATTTACTTAATATCATACTAAATCCCCTCTTTCACCGTCTAGATTCATTCTTTGGTCAACCTATGACGATGGATTGTAAAACTATTTAGGGCCCATTTGAGACAGTTTATAAATGCGGACGGCATTTTCAAAACACCGTCTCACTGTTCGGAAAATACATTTCAGCAACTTATTCGAAACTCAGTTGGATTTTTATACTAAATGCAGACCGCGGGAAAAACCTCGCAGACCACCCGCAGGCCTTATTTTAGGATAAACACAAGTTGCGCTAAACACCCGCAAGCATAAAAGTAGTGTTGATTTGTTATCTATATACAAGGTTTTTTTTCTTTTTTAAGTTTTCGTCTCAAAGAATTGGAAGTAGTTAGGAATGAGGATACTTGGTTTATCTCTGGAAAACTATTTATTTGTAAATAGTGGACTTTTGTATTTAATCATGTTAAAAAGGATTTTAAGTAAATAAATATATGGATTAAATTCCTTAATCTTCTCATTTCTCATTAGTCATAAACAGAGATTTTTAAGATTATCAATAAGGATGGCATTCCTCTGTATGTTGATCCTTCGGCTACTCGTAGTTCTATACTCACCTTCACTAGATTTAGTATTCCAAATTCAACACATTCTATTTTACCAAAGTTTGTTATGATAGTTTTGATGTAATATTAAAGATTTAAGTGTTATACGTGCAAATACTAACATTTAGGTGTTAGATAAACAAATACATATGAGCTGTGTGGTATGTATGTAAATGGCCTTAATTATAAACAAGTAGGCTTGTGACTGACCTCAAACTCATAGAAGCAAGCTTGAGCTCCATGAATTAATTAGGTCACAAGCCACTTATCGAGTCGAGCCAAACCCAACCCTCGAGTCGACTTGACTCGCAAACTTCATTGCAACTCTTTAGAATAGCAAATTAAAGCTTGCAAACAAAAATATAATTATATCAATCACAAGCGACAGCATCTTTTCATATTAGACTCATTGAGCTTTTATTGATGATGGCAATATTAGTCTTATAATATGATTACAATGATCAAAATGAGCTTCATTTACCTCCAAAAATCTTTAATTTTAGTTATTAATATTAGTTAAAATTTTAATTAAGGGGCATTTACATACATACCACACAATTCATACATATTTACATATCTAAACACCTGAATTTTAATATTTACATACAAAGCAATCAAGTCTTTGACATCCCATTAAGAATACCAATATCACCTATCAAAAAATTAAGTGCACCTGATCATGCATAAGCTGAACACACCAAACTGTTATAAATTCAAACAAGTTTGTTCAGGTGTTAAATATGTAAATAAATAAATAAATAAAATGGTGGAATGCATGTAAATTTCCCTTATACTTAACCTTCAAAACCTTTATTTTCATGATAAAACATTAACAAAAACATAAATGTTCAGTTAACTTCGATTGGCTTTAAATATTAATACGTTAAGTATCTATCTTGGCAAAAATTAAAACCTCATTTACATACAGCAATGATCAGCTTAACCTTCAAGTTCTGCATGGCTGCAGTTTCCCTTTCTGATTCTAGCCTTCTGGGAGGTGAGCAGAGCTTTAACTCTGGACTTCAGCTGCAGTGAGAAAAAAACAAATTTGATAGAATGTTAAGTTATAACTGCTTCAGATTTTAAATATAAAGAGAGATTTTACAAACATGCCGCACAATTCTTATGTATTGGCATATCTAACACCTAAAGTTTGATAGTTGAACTTAATAAATATTTTAGTGTCATGAACCTATGCATGAAAAAGTGAATTTCACTTCTCAAAAATTAATATTTGTAGCATTGTTTATGTGATGTTAAAATTTCGAGGAGAGTGCCACACGGAACTATGTTGGTCCCTGTATTTATAGAAATGTCAGAATAGTCTCCGATTATTTTAAAATTGAGTTCTAATAGTCCCTCTATGAAGACCATTGCCGCCTCAATTTAAAGAGTATGGGAATAATTTGACAACTCCGGGAATAAACAGCCCCGCTTAAATAGTCGGGGACTATTTAAGCACTTTTCTCCTTACAATTTTAAGTGTTATAAATGAAGTATAGGATCTACAGTTTGTTTGTTTATTTTAGCATATGCTTATATGTCTAATAATATACGCACATATTTAAACTGTATAACATACCAAAAAAAAGGTATACGAGAACACAAAAAAATCCATCAAATAACCAATTAAATCTTTATATAGGACCAATCTTTCAAATTTCGTTTAAGTGCATTCAATAATGTAAGAAAATAAATATAAACTAGCATGATATGAATGAATATCAAGCTGTAAATCAAATACTCTGATTCATTAGCAACCCTAGTTATTGCACTTGTGCTGTTTGACATGAGAGGAGATGCAAAAAAGAAAGCAAAGCTGACCTCACTAATACCCGCTTCGGTCTGCACGGAAACCCATATAGCACCGTCAGGCCCAAATTTTTGGTATCGGCCGATATCATCGTCGACATAATCATTTAGAATGCCATCTGTTGGTTCTTGCCTTAAATCACTTTTAGAGACAACGTCAAGCCAAAGACGATCCCCAAATCTTCCCTTTATGTCCTTGTATATGATGAACTGCAAAATTTTTTCAAAGATTTACATATGCACAACTTAATTCTTATTTATTTATATACCTAACACCTAAACTTCACTTTTATCATTAATAAAAAAGAGATGATACAAAGGTTTAGTGAGTGGGTACAAAGAGTACAAAGATGCCACTCATGCCACTCGCAAGGATTATAAACGTATTCCCCAGAAATAAAACAAAAAGAAACAACTCGTAATCATGGTGGGTACACACACACATGAAAAGGTGTATTTCACTTTTTAAGTTGAAAAAGTGGTATTTTTTTTTATGTGATGAGAAAGATTTGGGTTGGGGTCAATGTAAAAAATAAAGTTTAGATGTATGTAACTACATGGGAATTATGTGGTACGTATGTAAATGCCAATTTTTTTATGTAATAAACCATAAACTCTATAGCCAAACATGTCTGATGTCACTGTCAGTAATAGAAATGAAAAAAACATGGTGGGTTAAGTGCATTTTGGGTTGGATTGATGAGTCAACTAACAAGTTAAGCCTATTTGAATTGAGAATGAATTGAGTATATATATATATAAAGGTCCAAATTACTCCATGTAATTCATGGGGTCCAAGTGCAATTTTGTTTTTAAGTGAGCTTTTACGGAAAAAAAAATTTTACAACAATGAATCCCAACTCCACTTTCTGGAGCATAATATAAGATGAAAACTAAATTATGAAGAGAGTAGATGATACCTGATCAGCTGATGAGATCCCACATTCACCTGTGAGATCATGAACATACAATATGGCAGTAGGCAGATGCTCAAGCACAGCGAGTGTTAACAACTCAAGATTGTTCCTGTCATCTAGGGTTCAAAAAAACTAAGCAAAGAAGAAGTGTGTATATTGTAAAATTTACAGAACAAAAAATTCATTGTTTCAAGTTATAACAGTTATCACATATAAAAAGGTATGGCCTCCAAAATCTTACTAGAGAATAAAAAGTACGGGAAAGCTACAAACATGCCACAAAGTTTGATTTTTACATTTCTAAAAAATTTGGAATTAAAAACCTATAGGTGAAAAGGTGTATTTTTCACTTTAAAAAATTAGAGATAGTGATGGTGATATTTTTCATGTGATGTCATAGATTTGAGTGTTACGTACGTAAATATAAAAGTTTAGGTGTTAGATATGTAAATATAGAAGAATTGTGTGGTGCGTACGTATGCTCCTATAAAGAAGTATCACAATATATATATATATATATAATCAATAAATATTAAAAAGTAATTACATAAAGTAGTAGCAGCATATAATATGGCCTTGTAGAAGATCATAATATTCATCCCTTTTCATTCTATCACCCTTCATTACACAAATCAACAAAAATTTTATACCAACAAAAAATGAGTGTTCTACCATCAACCACCACAATAGCTATATCATTGAGATCAGTTTTATTATTTATTTTTATTTTTGTTTTTTATTTTATTTTTAAAAACATGTTTGTTTAGATTGATTTTGCATGTTTTTATTTTTTGTTTCTAAAAACAAATTAATATTCTTATAAAACACCAACAATAATCTTTAGGCGCTTTTGATCACTTCTAAAAATAGTCATACTATAATCAAATAACTAAATATATTATGTTTCAAATCAGAACATAAAAAGGATAAACTAAAAACAAAAAATTAAAAATTAAAAGCAAAAGCGATCTCAAATGGATCGCACCTAAGGAACAAGCTGTTTCAGTTCTTTCTCGCCATCCATCTGATGGACTCATTTTATGCCTACTCTCATGCATGTATTTAAAAAGACCGACCTTCCATTAACAAATTTCTACATCAAGAAGCCATCATCATTACAAAAACAAAAAAATAGCAATATTCAGAAGCCAAAATGTTCACTAACTCGGCTAATTTAGAATTTGGCCACCTGTATGTAATTATCTATATGATTTTATGGTCTTATATATTCACATGCAAATCAGATTGATAAAAGCATAGATGCAACACAAAAGTCCCTCTGTAGGAAAATAAAATATAATGAAGGGTCATTTACATATATAAAACCTAATTCCTATGTATTTATATATCTAACACCTAAACTTAACTTTTTTACATTTATAACACCCACACCCAAATCATTCATATCTATAACACCCAAATCATTCATATCACATTAAAAACATCACTACTTAACTTTTAAAAGATGAAATACACATTTTCATGCATGGGTAAGATGGCATATATGTAAAAATTGATGTTTAGGTGTTAGATATGTAACTATATAGGAATTGAGTGGCATCCATGTATATCTTCCTAAAATAAAATAAACCAAACAAAACCACATTTGAGAAGAGCCCTCAAATCATTGAAAAGGTTTTAAAAGTCACACTCATGACATAACAAGACAAAAAAAATGTCAAAATGGTCCACTCGCTCTTTGTCGCAGGTCACTTTAGTCTCAAAGTCTATAAAATTATCAATTTAGCCCAAAGATACTTTTCATATGAGTTGAAGTAGTCCCTAGTAATGATTATCTTAGCCCCCATTAAAATAACATGATGACTAATTAGCACTTTATAAAATCGGACAAAAATGACCTCATCTAAATAGTCACAAAACAATTTTGGCACATTAGTCCGTAACAGGGGAAATAATAGAATGAACAACCACCACTTGTTACATTAAAACTGATATCTATTGTTTTCTAGGAATTTTCATCAATGAGAACATATAGCGACCAATCACTACAATGTAACATAATATCTTACCATCATGCCTTCTAAGTAGACCAGGTGTATCCGTAACCTGTAACGAGTTAAGCCTTAGAAGTCGCATACTATTGCGACAAGATATGAAATAATAAACTTAAGTTAGTGTATAAAAACCTGATAATTCTCATAGTTTAGAGCAATGTGTCCCATCAAAATTCCCCTCGTGGTGAAAGGATAGTTGCAAACCTAACATCAGTTGTGAAAATCAAACTAACAAGTTAAGGAATATAAACGCAGCAAGTATGCACATTATATTTCGAGTTGCTTTCAAGACATTCCTTAACAACCTTGGTTTCTGGTGCCTATTCCTACTTCAGTTGTTGTGTCGTTTCTTCTCTCTCCTACTGGTGGTAAATAAAGAGCGTTCATTGGCATGGTTTTACCACACCAAAAAAAAAGTACATTTACATACATTGCACAAAATACTTATGTATTTACAAATCTAACACCTAAACTTTCATATTTACATGCATACCGCTCAAAATATCTAACATCACGTCCAAAATACTACCATCATTATCTTTTTAAAAGTGAAATACACCTTTTTGTAATATGTAAGTAAATTTCCCAAAGAAAAATATCCGCTCAATAAAACCACCACATGGCCAGTCTAATGTTCACACTTATTGAGTTTCTAACCCATTCGGATTCCCATTTGTAGAGATACGCACCACGTTTTGTAACCATGGCTTCTACCATGGACGAAAATCAAAACCTGAAGATCCTGCACCAGTGGCAGGAAAAAAGAACTAAAGGAGAAAACTGACAGACCAAGCAGCAACTTTATTTGCTTCAGATAAACTAACAATCGAGTGAACCAACGATGGTTGAATTGGTGCAGAACAGTTCAAGTTTTTGAAATTTGCTCACTGTCACCGTAGAATCAGTTCATGGTGTTGCAACAAGCATAAGCTAGTGCGCGCTAGAGCCTTAGTAAAGTGTTGCAGCACCACTCTGCAGCACTTGATTGACCCATATTAAGGTGAAAAACCAAAGTAATTGTTAAAGTATTATTGCAAGTAACAAATGTATTTGTAGTATATTTTATTGAACAAAAAGTGATGAAGAGTGTGCTCTAGCATTTTTTTAAAGCATGAATTGAAGTGCACTTAAAGGGTGACAGCACTGCGATGCAGAGAAGTTGTGTGTCCTAACCTTCTCATGTGTATGGAAAAGGTAAACATGCCATTCAAGCATAACAGGCTCGCAGGAAGTGCGAGCACAATTAGTCTTTGGGTTAAAAACTCATGACTTGTAGATTTGACACACATGACAGGTTGAGTGGCCAATTTAAAACAAAATAAAGGGGAGTGAGAATTGCAGCAAACAACTTAGAGCTAACATTAACATTTACAATATTATAAGACATTACAATCATTACAATTAATATCAGACTAGTTTAATCATTCACTGGTGTGGCCTAATAATAAGGCATTTCTCTTAAAGAAAACATAAAAAAAAAACATTAACATTTAAAATATTATAAATACTGTTCTGACATGTGCATGAGTGATATCAGTCTAGTTTACGTTTTGATATATTTTTTTTCTCTCTCTTATTTCAAAATTTAAGTAGCATAGAATTTAAAATTTTCTCTCAACTTTAGGACATGGTATGTATATGGGACTAAGGAAAATGACCATCATATAAGGGCTCGCCATTGTCAACCTACCTAAATAAGTGTCATGACCATATTAACTTGAGGGCCCTTTCGCCTTTATACGAGCTCACCTTCGTCACCTTGCCTATATATGTTTCCTATTCATATAGATACAAGTTATCATATTTATTTATTTCTCACTTTTGTCACCCAATTGGTACAGGTATCATAAACATTTGCCAACTTACCTCCCTTATCATGACATTTGTTAAGCTCCACACAATTCAATCATTACACGATTAAATAAACATATGATCCATTTTAAAATAGGTTGAATAACAGTATGCACAAAGTATGCAATTTACAAGCACCAAATATCTTTATTTAAAAGTATCATCAACTCACAAAAAATTTATGTAATCATTATTGTGTAGTCACTTATTGATGAATAGTAGGTCGGGCACATTCCTTCCTATATATTAAGGGTCTCTATTATATCACCTACAAATTTAATTAACAATAAATGAGCGCATGCAAGATTAATATATATATATATATATATTATATATATATATTTCATATTAGAATTTGTGCATCTTACTCGCCTAACGATTTAACCCTTCAAGACGAACAACCCAAAATGTATTCCTTCTGTAAATAATTATAGTATCAGCTCACATATACAAGTTTATAAATCTACAACTCCGAGTAAAAATTAATTCATTAAACCCAATAGACAACTTTAAACAGGAAGTGATGAAATATAATATTTAATGTTCACGTTAGAAAATAAAAAGTGGGCAAAATTTGAGTATCTAGGACAGCATAAAAAGAAGTATACATGGTTAATGCTAAAGTAGAACACTTTACCTCTGGTTTTCCAGTTGAAAGTATGCGAACTAGTGAAGACTTCCCCACATTGGGTGCTCCAACAAGGCAAAGGGTTGGAGTCTGTAGGTCCACCACAGGCATGGCACGCAGTGTCTTCAAGTTTCATAAATTAATCCATTTCAGATATTTAATTAGTCTAGGAATCCAACTCCTTAACTACTTTAAACAACAACAACAACAACAAAAAAGCCTTAATCCCACAATGTGGGGTCGGCTACATGAATCCTTTTTCTCCATTGCGTCCTATTTAGTGTCATATTTTCATTTAGTTATAGTAAATTAAGATCATTTTTAATACAATAAGCCCAAGTCTTCCTAGGTCTACCTCTGTTTTTCTTAACACAAGTCGAATTTAAAACATCTACTCTCCTAATCGGATCATCTAATGGTCGACGTTTAATATGACCAAACCATCTAAGACGACTTTCTCTAATTTTGTCTGTCACAGGAGCTACACCAACCCTATCACGAATATATTCATTCCGCATTTTGTCTCTAAGTGTAAAGCCACTCATCCACCTAATCATTCTCATCTCGGCAACACTTAACTTATTATTATGCTTCTCTTTTAAAGGCCAACATTCAGCGCCATAGAGCATTGCAGGTCTCACCACCATCTTATAAAATTTTCCTTTCAGTCTTAGCGGTACTTTTCTATCACACAAAAGGCCCGAAGCATTCCTCCACTTCAACCAACCAACTTGAATTCTACTATTAACACCCCATCTATATCACCATCGCTTTGGACAACGGACCCAAGATATCTAAATCGTTCACACCTTTTAATAATTTGATCACCCAAAGTCACACTTCTGTCACTAGAGCTATTAATACTAAAATTACATTCCATGTATT